TTAATATTGATACAATATTGTATTACTAATTAAATTTAAACACAACGTGCTCGCAAAAGAGAGAGAAAGAAGGAATATTCTCTCTCTTTTGCGAGCACGTTGGATGTTAAAGTTTGATCAGTTATACAACATTGGGCGCATTCAGTAGAAAAAGCGCTCAGTGAGCAATCAACGATTATTGGTTCTTGCTATTAGATCCTTAAATCTAGACCAATTACATTGACAAATTACTCAACTGTTGTGCAACTGTTGAGTCTGCTGAATGCAGCCAATGTTTCAATCGATCGTTGAGGTTAGGCTTGAACAGCGCATAGTCATCTAAATATGGGTGCCGTGTAACACGAGATCGAATCCACGCGAATCTTACGAATAAATGAAAAAACACAAAATATGAAATTATAGTTTTTTTTTATTATTTAGATAAAATAATACTTTATTATACTTTTCTCAATCTATTTTAATTAATAATGATTTTTCACTGAATTTTTCTACATTTTTAATAAAATATTATTGAAATGTTAATGAAATTATAATTAAATTTTAATGAAATTGGATCAAAATTGTAAATGCTTTTCAAAAGCATTTCAGCAAAAATTCATTATATTTTCAATAAATTATTTCCATCAGATACAAATATCTCAATTGAGATCTTACATGCAAATTTTTGCGGAAATTTGAGAATTCAATTGAGAATTCAACTGAGAATTGAATTGGGAATTCTATTGTTATCTGAACAGAAATTTTTCAGTAGAGTAGCCAGCTTTAAATGATGGTAAATTTTCTGTTATCTTTGCTTGCAAAGCCCATTGACGAAGATTTATGTCATGTATGATAATTCTCTTGCTTGCATAAATTTTTAAAACGTATATTGCGTTATACGTTTCACATTTTCTTTATGTGAATCCCCCTGTTTAACTTGGGCTACCCACTGGCGTAATTGTGTTTCAGATTTCACCATCTTAAAACTTGCACGAACTGTGTCACGTTACAGTCACCTTAATACTCAACAAGAAATGTCTCATGTCGGTGTATTTATACTATTACATATCTATATCGCGTTTTATCGCACAGATAACAATATCATATTAACAAAAAGATAATATTATCCAATTAGCAGTTTGAACACAACCACATGTTTCACACGAAGACTCGTAAGGTGAATTATTGACCATGTCTCAATTTGTGACCATCGCACCCATTTTCCTTAATACGAGTCCATATTTATTCTAAACATGTGTTCGGTACACTAAATTTTACATATTATCAGTTACAAGTTTCGAATAAAATAAAAAGCCGTAGTGAGAATGCTGAAATATCAGAATTACAAGCGCACCACTTACGGCGACAGTTCGAACAGTTCGATGTCGCCGACATCTTGGAAGTTGACAATCTATGTCAGATGTCTGTTTATGAATTTGTGTGGTTATTCTCTAACCTAAGGCGACTGAAATTGTCCTGTCAAATAGAGAAAAGGTGAAAGAATATTTTGTAAGCAAAAAAAGTATCAAGGTATGTACTTTTCGTAGTTAATTCATATACGTCACTAATCGGTATTAGAAAATTTATGCGTTCCCATTACTGACCACCGAAATAAATATGATATACAATTATATAAGCGTCCATATTCCTTGTGACGTGGCAGCCGTGGAGGCGCCCGTCACAAAGTAATAAGGACCGATTTCGCGAATATTTCCGCCGCCGCGACCGGGCCCGCGTCCTGTTTCGCGTACGCCGGCTTCTGCTGCCAGTTAAACATTACAAAAAGTTCGTGGAGCAGATAGAGAGGTCATCGCGCCCCGAGTTCTGTGCCCCAGGTTCCCCTTTTCAACAAAATCAATTTTATGTATTGTGACGTGGCAGCCGAAGGGCGCCCGTCATAAGGGCGAGAGAGCTCCGTTCGCATGATTTCGCGCATTCCGGAAAAGGGGGGGGGGGGTGCATAGCGCTCCTGGATATTTTTGTGATTAAAAGCGACAGCTTTCCGCGGTCATATCGGTCGAGCGTAGAGGGGGAGTTGATTAGCGAATCGTATGCGGTCCCGCAAGTGGGATGGTCATCGCGTCCTAAGAAAATGTGCCCCCAACTCTCCTCGTCGACCACGAAGGGCAGAGACCACAGGACACCGAGGGAACAAGAAGAAAGAAGAACCGTCATCGGCCTCAAGGAAAGTCGCCGTTTAAATGGTACGTGAAACGGTACTTTAACTCTCGTACATAAGAACGTGTTATCGTTCCGATTTCGGCTGCCGCTGGCGATGTTTGTTTACAGCACGCTGCTAGACGCGGGACGGAAAGGCGAGAAGACTCTCAACAGCTGACAACAAAGCAGGTGCCACGGAAACACGGAGATCCCGGTGAGACAGGCGAGAGAGAGAGAGAGAGAGAGAGAGAGAGAGAGAGAGAGAGAGAGAGAGAGAG